TATGTATTTTTTGAGGTGTGATAGGAGCTAAGATGGTTTACATACCAGGAACAGTGAGTCACTTGAAACCATGTAATCATCCTAAACCTATAAGGCAGGCTTAACATCCCCATTTATAAATAATGACATTTGAAGCCTAGTTTGATTGGTGACTTGTACAAGTCATGTCACAATGTGTGTGTGGCAGGCTGGGATTGGACCCAGACTCATCTGAATCCGCAATTAACCATGACTATCAGCATGGTGCTTGGCAGGCAGTGAACACATCCAGAAATCCAGGGCTGGGTGCCTGCTTCCCAGATCACATCATGACCTGTTTCACATCATTCACATTCAAAGTGAGATTAGGGTCAGTGTTCTCTGATGATTGCACCATTATACTCTTATATTCTCTTGCAAATGCTAGTAGAGAATGAAGTGGAGGAATAAGTTATAAATGAACAGCGTGGTGCTTGGCAGGCAGTGAACACACATCCAGAAATCAGGGATCCTGAGTGCCCTGCTTCCCAGATCACATCATGACCTGTTTCACATCATTCACATTCAAAGTGAATTAAGGGATCAGTGTTTTCTCTGATGATTTTTTATTATACTCTTATATTCTCTTGCAAATGCTAGTAGAGAATGAAGTGGAGGAATAAGTTATAAATGAACACTGGCAAATTACCCCAAGAGTTAATGATGTTATCTTGGCAGCTGTCTGTGTAGGGATGCATGTAGTTGCGAGTTTGTATTGTGTTTTACAAGGGAAAATATATTGAGCCTCACCTTTCTGAAATGCTTAGAATATGATTTTATTATACTCTTAGCCCTCTTGCAAATGCTAGTAGAGAACAGAAGTGGAGGAATAAGTTATAAATGAACACCGGGCAAATCACCCCAAGAGCAATGACGTTATCTCGCAAATGTCCGTGCAGGACGCATGCACAGGAAGTTTGTATTGTGTTTATAAGGAAGAGATGAGTTTGCTTTTTTGAAGGCGAATTGATAGGATTTACTTAGAATATGCGAAGAGCGAGTCTAAAATCAGACTTATGTACAAGGGAAAATATATTGAGCCTCACCTTTCTGAAATGCTTAGAATTGATATGATTCAATTAAACGTAGCTTTTTCTGTGTATTGTTTGTTCAAAAACGTTAATCCACAAGCACAGCGTTCTTTTTTTAAGACAGAGTCTCACTTTGTCGCCCAGGCTGCGGTGCAGTGGCTTCATCTTGGCTCACTGCAACATTCCTCTATCGAGTTAAAGTCATTCTCCTGCCTTAGCCTCCTGAGTAGCTGGGACTACACGTGTGTACCACCATACTCAGCTAACTTTTGTATTTTTAGTAGAGACAGGGTTTCATCATGTTAGCCAGACTGGTCTCGAACTCCTGACCTCAGGGGATCCACCCATCTTGGCTTCCCAAAGCGCTCAGATTACAGACGTGAGCCACCGCACCTGGCCATTTGCAATACATTTTATCAGTTTGCCTTAGCTCCTATGATGATATTAATATGGCTCGTGTGTCAGTGTAGTCTGCGTCTCACAATGCTATATTTTGTGAATGAATACAAGGATGACTGCTAAATACAACATTTGAAAGGTATGAAAAGATATCAGTGATCAAGCTCACAGGCTCTGATTTGAAACGAGCAGGCTTGAATATGAAAGCGCTGGATGTTTCTGTAGACCCACAGCCAGTTCAGTAGAAACCTCATTGACCACCCTGAAGCAGAGGAGGAAAAGTATAAAAGAAATCAGGATTAGAAGACAGGCAAACTAACCTCACCTATGGTGTACGATAGCATTTATATTATCTATTGCCCGTCAAGTTTTGGGAACCTTATGTTTTATAGCATCTAAACTCTACTGCCCAATTTGAACCTTCATCCACTAGTGGTTCTCAACGTGGCTGTTCATTAGAATCCTTTGAGGAGTTGAAAAATCCCAATGTCTAGGCGACAACTCAGAAAAAATCTGTAAGAAACTCACAGGGGGTGAAATCCAGCCACCGAGTATTAGTTTTTTTTTTGTTTTTTTTTTTAAATTCAGAGAGGAGTCTTGTTCTGTTGCCCAGGCTGCAGTACAATGGCAAGATCATAGCTTAGTGCAGCCTCGGACTCCCTGCTCAAGCAATGCTAAGTACCTGGGATTAGGCACATGCCACCACATCCAGCTAGTTAAAAAATTTTTCTGGTAGAGACAGAGTCTTGCTATGTTGCCCAGGATGGTCTCGAACACCTGGACTCAATAAATCCTCCTGTCTCAGCCTCTGATAATGTGTATCAGAAAGATATATATTATTAGTATGTATTATAAGACTTTTTTAAGAAGAGAATACTAAGGCCTATAAGAGTTAAAAACTTATCTAGGTTGCACCAGAAACCCAGGCCCATGATTTTTCCCTCTTTTCTCTCTCTCTCTCTCTCTTTTTTTTTTTTTTTTTTTTTTTGAAGCGTACTTTAAACTCTACCTGAAGGTCTGCCCTGACAGCTGCAGGCTGCATTATCTTCCTTCTCTTTCCTTTCGGCTCTGTCTGTACCACAGTCATGGTTGATCGCTCCATAGAGGAAGCCTAGCACTTTAATTGGACTATAAGAATCCCAGAAGAAGGAAGCATATTGTATACTTTAACATCCTGACAAGTTCTGGAACATGTAATAGATGGCTAATAAATACATGTTGCATTGGAAGCTGCTACTAACATATATGATATCTTTGGGCAGAGTTGGAAAATGCCCAATATACGCTAAAAAGTTATACAGATTCCCTACCTTGGGAGGTCCCTGTAGTTTCTGTACCAGGAAGCATGGCTGGATATGCAGACAGTGGGTCAGGTTTCAGCCCCACACAACTCCTTGCCCAGGTGCCCCTGCCAGTGGTGTATAATCTATCTGTATGACCTTCCTGCAAACCCAAGCACAGTTGATGTGGGAGAAAGTGACTCAGGACCCACAAGTGAGGCTTCTCCACATACTGGCAGTCTCTTCCTATGACCAGCTTGCCGGGTTTGGGTGTACAATGCACACATAACAGTAACTACCTGCTGTCATTTGGATTCATTAAAAATAAAATCATCTCACAAACACTAGGTAATTTTCATTTTTTATTTTGCATTATATCATATTTCCCCTGTATAGAGCAGTATAATTTTTGAATGTGTTTCTTTATGTGTAAGGTGAGAGTGGCAAGAATATAAAATCTTTACCTGTTACTCCTAGTTTTTCTTGGGGTGGGGAGGAGGGCAGTAGAATGGAACCAATCACTGATGGGCATCCAGGCCCTGGACTGAAACTCCCTGTGAGTGCCTCGGCTAACCCTGTTGTGGTGGATCCTTTAGCAATTTCTACCCCAGGGAGGACTAAGGCAAGCCAGGGTCCCTGTAGTCCCTCTGGGGATACCCAAAAGGTTTCCCTTTCTATGACAGGTCATGGAGGAGCTGGTGGATGAGGGGCTGGTGAAAGCCCTTGGCATCTCCAATTTCAGCCACTTCCAGATCGAGGCTCTTGAACAAACCTGGACTGAAATATAAACCAGTGACTAACCAGGTAAATTCTGTTTAGTATAAGGGTAAATAAAGAGTCTTGTCTATTATTTCTTAGCTGTTGGGAGGAACATTCAGTGCTATGCCCTGAGTCTCATCTCAGGGGTCAGTGATCAGGACACTTTTGGGAGGTGTGAGGCTGATCTCATGGGTGTGTTAGCAGGAATCTCAGTGGGTAGGTGTTTGGCCTTTCTTGGTGGTCTTTTTGTCTGTATGTGTAGAACTCCCTATGAACAACTCAAAAGCCAGCGAGCTTACACCTGTGATGCGGATTGTTTGCTGTTGCAGGTTGAGTGTCACCCGTACCTCACGCAGGAGAAACTGATCCAGTACTGCCACTCAAGGGCATCCCGTTACGGCCCTACAGCCCCCTAGGCTCTCGGATAGACCTTGGTAGGCTTCCAAAGCAGTGGATCCTTCCCTTGATAATCTTAAAAACATTGTTATTTTATGACATGAAATATTGGTATGAGACCATAAGTCACTGGAAAAAACGTGTGTAAGGTAATCGTTTGCTAAAACCAAATGGGATGACTGTGGGAACAAATGGGAATTAAAAAGCAACAACAACAGCAACAACAAAATATGGGCGCGTGTTTGACCCTCTGGGAATATTTCTGTTCAACCACCCAGGATGAACCAGGCTTTGCAAAATGCTAAGACTTCACAGCCCAGGGGAAGGACCCAAGCTTCAGGTCCTCTGCCTGTCTCCCAGATGGAAAGGCTCTGATGATCAGTCTTGAGACCCTCACTGGAGTGGTGCCCATCTGTACATGGCCAGCCATGGTGATTGTTCACATCAGCATCTTTCTGCCTCTGAGGCCAAGCCAGAGGACCCTTCCTGCTGGAGGATCCCAAGATTAAGGAGATTGCTTCAAAGCACCAAAACTGCCTTGAGTACCATATTTTTATTTTCTTGTTATCCAGCAACTATTTCTTCCAGTCTGTTGTTTCATTTCTTGCTGTTTGTCCTCAACTAACTCCTTAAAGGGGAAGAACACAGGAGTTGAAGCCATCTATAGTGTTTCCTTTGAAGTCTGTTGGAACCTTCAGGAAACACAAAATATCATGAAACAAAGATAGCTTATGCCTCACAGCTTCCTGTTAAGCCCGACAGCCAAGAGTGCATCAAAGCAAGTCTTTGGAGTCTAGGATATGGGTACAGATGCCACCTCTACCTCTGATCAACCTTATGACCCAAACCGCTTTCTTTATTCATAAAAATGGCGAAGATCACAGAGTTGTCCCTAAGATGAAGGGAGAGAGAATGAAGCGAGGGCTGGCACAGAAGTCTAATAGCTGCGAAGGGAGCTCAGTCAGTATCAGCGATTGTACCTGAAGCCACAGTGAGCTGCAGAGATGCTGTTCTTCCTTTCCATAAAGGAGGGGGTCCTTGTAGCTGAGTGGAAACATGATGTCCCCTTTCCGCTGGAGGTTCTGATCGTTCCATATCCAGAGGAATGTGGTGGCATTCCCCAAGTCTGTGACACAGCCATTATAGTTGAGAACATTCAGGTAAGATCCTGGCTGGTCGGCCCTGGTATTCCTCAAGAGAGTGGGGCAGAGACAGACCCTGTCACTAGGCTTCTCACCTCATCCCTGCACTGTCTTTGGTCCTCTCCATTCCCACCACCCTATCATTTTCCAGCCCAGGGATCAAGACTCAGTATACCTGAAGGATGAATGACCCACGGGCTTAGGACATGCTGGGGACAGTGCCTGGTGATGCCCTGTCACGTCTGAGCACAGCTGTGCTACACACCACTGAGAAGACCCTCAGTTGCCCCTGAGCAGCTAAGCCCTGGGCCACCACATGAGCAGACAGTCCTGGCCTCGCTGCTCACCTTCTGGCAGCAGAGGAGGTGTGAACTGTCCTTGGAGAACTGTCTTCTAGAAGGGCGCATCTTAGACACAGAGGCCTGTGCACCTGGGGCTTAGTGCCTGTGAGCCTGGTCTCTCGGGAACACTGGGCACTACAAATGAGTCTTTGTGTGAGACCTAATTTAGAGAAAAATTTGTATCCCGTGGACATAATGGAAAAACACCACTGACCTGTTTGTGCCTCGGGAACTCCTGCTAGAATGGCCCAGTCTTCAGTCACAGCAGTAATGGCCTTACTGATGATGTACTGGAAATCCTATCTTTCCAGGTCTTTGACTTTAAATTGAGTGATGAGGAGATGGCAACCATCCTCAGCTTCAACAGAAACTGGAGGGCCTGCAACATGTTGCAGTAAGTGACATGGAATTAACTAGGAGCATTGCCAGGAGTTTTTCTAAACTGGTAGAGGGTTAGTTGGAAGAATTAGAAGGCTGCTGGGGCTACTTGTCTTCAGAAATACAATTTTGGGGCAGTTTGAAAGTTAAAATTAGGTGCCTGGGAATCACTGCGGGGACACATCTCTAATTGCTGCTCATTGTCTGAACTTCTGGATGTAGAGCTAGAATTGTAACACAAGGTGTGTTGTCAATAGGCAGGAGGCGAGCATTCATTTATTCCTGCATTCAATAAATATCTAGTGGTCCTCTATGCCAGGCATCGCTCTAGATGGCAGGTTTATCATACTGTACAAGCTGCTGCCTCCACGTACTTGGGAGGAGGAAGAAGACAGAACGAAATAAATCAAATCAAAATATATGTGACAGACAGTAACCAAATGCTGAACAGAAAAAATAAAGTGAGGCAAAGTTTATAGGAAGTGGCGGGTGGTAGTGGGGCGGATCCTTTATACGGGGTGGGTCAAGGCTGCTGTGAGATATGCCATATGGTCTTTGGGGAAAGAAGGCATTGTTGGCAGTGATAACAGCAGGTGCAAAGGCCCTATTGGGATTGTGTTTAGAGCATTCAAGCAAGAAGGCCAGGAGGCTGGATTAAATAATCTCCAAATTCCTCTCAAAGGTGGTGGTGGTAACTTTACTTTAAATGCATTGAGTAAGTGGTTGAAAAAGAAGGTTTTCACTCTCTGGCTAGGTGGGAATCGTAATCATCTCTTTACAATCAATATTTTCTGATTAATGTATCTAATTAAATATATCAAAGAGAGTTGACTTGCATTTATTACTGCGAGGTCTGCAATTCAGCAACAATTTGAATTTCTTCAATGTTTCTATAGCCAAAATGATTTTTCAACTTTTAAAAATAGTTTCAGTATCTCCAGCGTAGCTTTCTGTCATGATATTTCATATCTATCTGCCCACCCTTAGTATCACAGCAGCCTTTCCTCATCTTATAATGGCTTATTTTTATCAGTGTTTAACAAAGTAGCAGCTGCTTGGTGTAAAAGGCAGTGTAAAGACATGAAATGGGACTTTCCCAAACTAAACCGCTGACCTTCCAGCTGATCATCATTTCCGATTAGGCAATGGGTTGGTGGGCTCAGGGAGTAGGTCACGAGCCTCAGATCAACAATCCTGGTTTCTTAGCTGTGTGACATTGGGTAAATTTCCTAGTTTTTCCAAGTTGGCTTCTTTACCTATAAAGTAGGATGATAATACTCATCTCAGCTAACATCCATTGAACCTTAGCTTAGAATATGCCAGGGTCTAAGGCCCTTGCCAGTGCTATTATTCATTTAATACTCATAATAATCCCCAAGCTGTCAATTGTGCTGGTGTTTCCTACCTCATGATGTTGTGACAGTGGACTGGGACAAGACTTGCTAGTTGCCTCACCTGACACCAGGCTTACCGCAGGTTGTCATTTGGAGTTGTTCCCATGCCCTGGTCACTGTCTGTCCTCCTTCCCTATCAAAGCCCTCATATCGAATTGAGGGAAGGTCAAGGTGTGAGCACCCTTCTTGTGTTCTTGCAGGGAGGAGGCTGAGAGAGCACAGATCTGTAGAGTCCACCAGAGAAGAATACCTTCTCAACCAGAGCTGTTGCTTTCATGGAACACAGTTTCTCTGTTTGTTTGTTTCTGCAGATGCTCTCGTTTGGAGGACTATCCCTTTGATGCAGAATATTGAGGTTGAATCTCCTGGTGACATTACCTAGAGGTTCTCTTTCTTCACTGAAGTGTGACTATCTCCATCAAGTCCTATTTTAGCCAAGCTTATCTGAGATCACAGTGAACTTCATCCTGTTGTGGAGCCAGAATCAAGGTGCTGTTTTAGACATGTATTTCTGTATATTCAACTAGGATCAGAAATCTCGTTTGGAGGACTATCCCTTTGATGCAGAATATTGAGGTTGAATCTCCTGGTGACATTACACAGGGGGTTCTCTTTCTTCACTGAAGTGTGACTATCTCCATCAAGTCCTATTTTAGCCAAGCTTATCTGAGATCACAGTGAACTTCATCCTGTTGTAGACCAGAATCAAGGTGCTGTTTTAGACATGTATTTCTGTATATTCAACTAGGATCAGAAATTCACAGAAAAACGTGGCTTGAATAAGCAAATGACAATTTTTTCCACTTATCTGAACAAATGTTTGTTAAGCACAAGAACTCTGCCAACACTGAGGATGTAAAGATCAATAATAAAAAAATAATGATGGTAACCAGGATGGATTGAGAGTGGATTATGCGCCCACACAATGTGAAGTGTTTTCCTGTGGGTGAAGTCACTGAATCCTCAAAATAACCCCTCTGAGGTAAGTATTCTTAACATCTTAGGAGACAGAGAGGAGGAACATGTCAAGGCCACCCCGGTAGTAAGTGACTGAACCAAGTTTCAAAGGCTGCCGGTGCTATTATCTCATTTAATACTCATAACAATCCCTTAAGCCGTCGATTCTGCTGTTGTTTCCTCTCTAGCTCATGATGTGACAGTGGAGATTGGGACAAGACTGTCAGTTGCTCACCTGACACCAGGCTTACCATGAGTTGTCATTCCGAGTTGTTTCATGCTGCTCTTGTCACCGTCTTGTCCTCCTTCCCAGCAAAGCCTCACTGAGTGAGGGGGAAGGCCAAGGTGTGAGCACCCTTCTTGTAAGCTCTGCAGGGAGGAGGCTGAGAGAGCACAGATACTATAGAGTCCACTGTGAGAAGAATACCTTCTCAACCAGAGTTGTTGCTTTGATGGAACAGAGTTTCTCTCTCTTTTTTGTTTCTGCAGATCCTCTCATTTGGAGGACTATCCTCGCTGCAGAATATTGAGGTTGAATCTCCTGGTGACATTAAGCAACAGGATTCTCCTTCGCTGGAAGTGTGACTCATCTCCACTAATGTCCTATTTTAGCCAAGCTATCTGAGAGATCACAGTGAACTTCGTCCTGCTGAGACCAGAATCGAGGTGCTGTTTAGACATGACTTCTGTAGTGCAACTAGGATCAGAATATCACAGGAAACATACTTGAATAAGCAGATGACAATTTTTTTCCCTCTTTCTCTCTGATCTGAACAAATGTTTGTTAAGCACAAGAAACTCTGCCAACACTAAGGATGTGAAAATCAATAATAAACAATAATGATGGTAACCTAGATGGATTGAGAGTGGACTATGTTCCCACACAACGTGAAATATTTTCCTGTGGGGAAGTCACTTGAATCCTTAAAAATGACCCTCTGAGGTAGGTAGTCTTAATATCTTAAGAGAGAGAGAGGAGGAACTTGTTAAGGCCACCCAGGTTATAAGTGACTGAACCAAGTTTCAAAGGCAGGCAGGCTCTGGGAGAGCTCACAGCGATCGATGGTCATCCTCTTCCTCCTGAGTCTTCTTTTCTCCTGCCACCTTTCCTCCTTGCCTGTCTCCCCACTCATTCCCTGTCTTTGCTCTCTCTACCTCCTTTCTTCAATACACCATCATGCCAAAGAGTCAATGGTACAGCCTGCAAACTCCACAAAGATGCTACTGCTCACCGAGAGAGATGTGGCATTTCCTTGGGAAGTAGGGTGGAAATACAATAAGGATGTCCATTGTTGCCATTAATCTGGAACATTTCTGTTTGTCCTGAGTAATAATCGCTTCTTATGAAATATTCCAACTATGGAAAAGTCGTATAGAAAATAAAGTAATGAGCTTCGGTCACCGAGCATTATAATGTTAACAAGTGTTAGCTGGGTATGGGGTGGTGTGCACCTTAGTCCCACCCTTATCTACCAGGAGAGCAAGTGGAGGGTCATGACCAGAGGTGGAGCTTGCAGTGAGCCAGACTTGCACCACTGCACTCCAGCCTGCAACAGAGAGATTCTGTCTCAAAACAAAAACAAAAACAAATGCTAACATTTTGCCATATTGTTCAAACCTTAAAAAATTAAAGAAATTAGGGTTACCAATATAGTCAAGGACCACTTTGTGCACATTCCCTGACTACCCCTCCAGAGGCAAATGCCTATCCTAAATTGGTGAGTCCCCTCACCCTCTGATTGGGGCTGAGGGTACACCTCACATTCCCAGGCTTCCCTTGCTATTTTATGACTCTCCTCTGGGTTTGCTCAGTGAGGAGGTATTGAGCTAGGGAGCCTGAAGGGCTGGAGAAGGCAGCTGAGCCAGATTTCTCTCTCCCTCTCTCTCTGTCTCTTGACCTTGGAGTGGCATTCCAGTAGTAAAGCACATTCCTCTGTGGGCTCAGCTTTTCCAGGCAGCTCCACCATGATTCTCCCCATTCCTACCAGACAAAGCTTCTGGGTTGAGGGAGTTAGCACTTTCTTGTCCTTCTTCCTTAGAGCCGGCAGGGGATCTCTTCCTGCTGCTGCTAAACTGAGCGTTCTCATCTCTTTCCCCATAGCTCAGCTATTCCATCACATGTAATTGATCACTAACACCTTTTCTATAACCAATGATTTGAATCAAAACATCCAATATTTAAAATCTTAGCAGTTTCTTTTCTCTCTCTGGGCTGACCTTGCTCTTGGTATACTTCCCATCCACATTTTGTATTTTTAGGTATATGTTCATCCATACACAATGTTGGCAGACGGGTGCTTTTTTAAAAATGTATATGGAGGCACACCATGATGGCTGAATAGAACAGCTCCAGCCTCCAGCTCCCAGCGTGAGTGACAGAGAATACGAGTGATTCTGCATTTTCAACTGAGGTACTGGCTCCATGTCACTGGGTCGGCGGACAGTTGGTAACGTGAATCCAGCATACAAACAGAACCAAAGACAAAAACACATGATTATCTCAATAGATGAGAAAAGGCGTTGATGTACCAACAACCTTCATAAGTAAAAACTCTCACAACTGTATTTTCGATGGAACGTATCTCAAAATAATAAGAGCTATTTAAGACAAACCCACAGCCAATATCATACTGAATGGGTAAAAACTGGAAGCATTCCTTTGAAAACTGGCACAGGCAGGGGGCCCTCCCTCACCACCTCATTCAAAATAGTGTTGGAAGTTCTGGCTAGGCAATCAGGCAAGAGAAAGAAATCAAGGGTATTCAGTTAGGAAAGAAGAAGTCAAATTGTCCCTGTTTGCAGATGACATGATTGTATATTTAGAAAACCCCACTGTCTCAGCTCAAAATCTCCTTAAGCTGATAAGCACCTCAGCAGTCTCAGGATACAAAATCAATGTGCAAAAATCATTGCCATTCTTATACACCAGTAACAGACAAACAGAGGGCTAAATCACAAATGAACTCCCATTCACAACAGCTTCAAAGAGAATAAAATATCTAGAATCCAACTTCTTACAAGGGATGTAAAGGACTTCTTCAAGGAGAACTACAAACCACTGCTCAGTAAAATAAAAGAGGACACAAACAAATGGAAGAACATACCATGCTCATGGATAGAAGAAATTACAACATAGAAAATGGCCATACTGCCCAAGGTAATTTATAGATTCAATGCTACCCCCATTAAGCTACCAATGACTGTCTTCACAGAATTGGAAAAAAGCTGCTTTTAAAGTTCCATGATAACCAAAAAAGATCCTACATTGGCAAGACAATCCTAAGCTAAAAGAACAAGCTGGAAGCATCAGGCTACCGACTTCAAACTAAACTACAAGGCTACAGTAACCAAAAGAGCATGGTACTGGTACCAAAACAGAGATATAGACCAACGGAGCAGAACAGAGCCCTCAGAAATAATACCACAGATCCACAGCCATCTGATTCGACAATCTGACAAAAGCAAGAATGGGAAAGGATTCCCATTTAATTGGTGCTGGGAAAGTTGGCTAGCTACAAGTAGAAAGCTGAAACTGATCTTTTCCTTACTCCTTATACAAAATTAATTCAAGATGAATTAGAGACGTAAACGTTGTGACTCAAAAACCATAAAAACTCTAGAAGTGCTATCACTCTAGGTGGCCACCATTCAGGACATAGGCATGGGTGCAAGTGACTTCCATGTCTAAAACACCAAAAGAATGGCAACAAAAGCCAAAATTTACAAATGGGATCTAATTAAACTAAAGAGCTTCTGCACAGCAAAAGAAACTACCATCAGAATGAACAGACAACTCACAGAATGGGAGAAAATTTGTAATCTACTGATCTGACAAAAGGCTAATATCCAGAACCTTTAAAGACCTCAATCAAATTTTTACAAGAAAAAACAAACAACCCTATCCAAAGTGGACAAAGGATATGAACAGACACTTCAAAAGAAGACATTCACATGTGCCAACAGACACATGAAAAATGCTCATCATCACTGGTCATCAGAGAAATGCAAATCAAAACTAAAATGAGATACCATCTCACACCAGTTAGAATGGCAATCATTAAAAAATCAGGAAACAACAGGTGTTGGAGAGGATGTGGAGAAATAGGAACACTTTACACTGTTGGTGGGACTGTAAACTAGTTCAACCATTGTGGAAAACAGTGTGGTAATTCCTCAAGGATCTAGAACTAGAAATACCATTTGACCCAGCCACTTCCATTACTGGTATACCCAAAGGATTAAGTAAGTCATGCTGCTATAAAGACACATGCACATGTAGGTTTATTGCAGCACTGTTCACAATAGCAAAGACTTGGAACTAACCCAAATGTCCATCAGTGACAGACTGTATTAAGAAAATGTGGCACATATACACTAAGGAATACTATGCAGCCATAAAAAAGGATGAGTT